GGCATTCTTGAGACCGCCCCTCTCCCCCAAGCTCTAAGAGGCACCAAGCATTGCTGCCAACTACCTCCTTCTGTTCATAATTTTTCCCCCTTTTTTCCACATTCTTCCACTTGCCAGACTTTGGACTCTGGTTTTTGATTCCCTACACCTCCTTGAAATCTGTCTTCCAACTCTCCCAGTTGGACTGCTTTCCCCTCTTAGGATGTCTATCCTCTCTAACAAGCTAGGAGGTCAGCTTGCCTTTACAGCTCACAAAGCAACTGACAAGCAACTCTGATAGGAGGGCCTATCAGAAGGCAACTTAACTCTTTTCTCACTTTCCAAACTTCTGTGGTCTCTGATGTAACTATCGTCTGTCTTGGGGCTGAAGGAACTTACAGTCTAGCTCCCTTTGGAGTGAAATCCAACTTCCTTAGCTGGACTTTTGAGCAATGCATGGGTCTGGTCCCTACAGACACCTTTGGCTCATATCTTGCCACTCCCCATTCTCTCTGCCCCCGACCATACTGAATTCCTTGAGTTGGGTGCATTGGTTCATCCATTCATCTATTTAGCCTTTTATTTTACAGATATTTATTGGGGGCATGTTGTGAGTCAGACTGTCAAAGATGCTGAGAAATATAACAGCGGTCAAGAGAGGGGCAGAGTCCCATGCAATCTTGGGTGGAGGTCGGGGAGACAGACCATAAACAGGCAAACAAATCAACAGGGTGATTTTCTATCATTATCTATGCATGAAGATGCAGTAAAATAGGGTGATGGGGTTGGGAGGGACTAGCGGGGTTGGGGAGGCTTCTCTGTATGGGGACGATGTGGGTGTGAGTCCTGATTGATAAGAAAGCCACGTAAGCATGCAGAACTTGAGGAAGAGGGTTCCAGCAGAAGGAATGGCACTTACAAACAACTTCAGACAGGGATGAACTTGGTTTGTTCAAGGAACAGAAGCTAGGGAGTGTGGCTAAATCAAAGAGAGCAAGGGGTAGGGTAGACTGTGAGGGCATCTGGGAGGTAGAGGTCCATCTCATGAGGCACTAGAATCCCTCTGGGCCTTGCTCAGCTGTTCCCCGGACCTCCCTTTTTTTAGGACAACCCAGCACATCCTTCAAGCTTAGTCAAGATGTCGTTTCTCCTTCCCTGACCCTTCAGTGTGTTCGATGCCCCACTTGCAGCCCTCTCATTCCTTCTGCGTAGAGCTTTCGCGCTAAGGTTATGTTGGCCTGCTTTCCGATTGTTGCCCCTGCTAGACTGTAAGCTCCTGAAGATGAGAACAGCTCTGGCATAGTCAACGTTCGGTTCATGAATGGGTACATGGATGTTTGACTGGCTGGGCAGGTGGGTGGGTGGATAGATGAACAGAACAGCTATAAAAACTCTACCTGTAAGATGTTCAAATAAGTATTCGGGGTGTCTCAGAGCAATCTGAGTACTGTTGTGGCATTGTGTGTAGGAAATCAGCCTGCTCAGAAATGGCCCCTGTATTTCTGGCTATCTGCACTCTCTTCAGAGAACTAAATGCCTTCCAAATTCTGATCACTTTAGGTCAAGTGTAGCAGGAATACCTGAGGGTGGATAAGCTTCTTGGACCCTTGGCAGAAGTAATTTATAGATATGATTTTTAGCCAGGTGCAGGGCTTCGGGGTCCGATCAGGTGGGGTTTGAGTCCTGCTATGTCACTGGTTGCATGATCCAAGGTAAGGTGGTTAACCTCTCTGCACGCCCCTGTCATTACTGTAAGGAAAGCCTTGTGGGCTTGTACGATCATTAAGGTGACGTGCATGGTTAAGGGTTTGCCTGTACGAGTGTGCAGTCAGTGATGACTGTTGCTGCCATGGTCCCATCCCAGCAGAGATAACGTATTGGAAGGGATCTGGTACTCATGTGAATGCCCTCAGCCTCTCTTGACAGCCCTGACCTTGCAGGACTTTTGCAGGGACTAAAGATGGGCTGTGTCAAGTTTATGGCACATAGTAGGACCCAGCATGGGGTAATAATAACCAAGCTTGGCCACATGCACACACAAAATGAATGGCCCAGAACTGTGACCACCTAGGGAGATGGGAAGGAGCGAGTGTGGCCTGGGCCAGAACTCTGAGCAGTACAGGCTGAGCTGGGGCAATTGAGCATGACTTGCTCAGATAGATGGAAAAGGGAAGGATTCTCTAGGCAGAAATAAAGTGAGGAACCAGCATAGAATGTCTTTCCTTTTCTTCTTTGTCAGTCCTTAAATCTTCACAAGGGACTTTGCCGTGGCCACTCCACTGAGGCAAGAGGCCCCTCAGCTCAGCAGTCTGGTGTTTCATTTAGAAGTCTTCAGCCTTGCTCCTCTCTAGGGAGGGCAGCCTGGAGAATGGGGGAGCGTGTGGCCAGAGCTGCCGGGCCCTCCATTGTTCTTTTAGAGCAGAGCATGAAAGGTAGCCAGATACCTTTCCCCTCCCAGGGGGACTGACCTATTTAACTCTGGGGAAAAGAAGAAACCAACTCCTGTCTTCATTTCTCTCCAGCCATTTTCTTCCTCAAATGCTAGGAGCTAATTCAAATGAGCAAGCCTGCCTTAGGGCTCCCTAGAGACTTTGAGGCCCTTTTTCTTCAACCTTTTGTCCAAGTCTCTGAACTGCGTCCAGGGTGGGTTCTGGCTTTTGAGCTCACTGTTCTCCTGAGACCGAGGGTCTGTCAACACAGACTGAGCCGGTGTCCCAGGACAGAACTTCTGTCACCTGACCTGGCTCAGACCACACTCTCCAAGAATATCAGTGGCCTGGCCCTGGTTCTTGGGCTACTGGTTTGGTCATTCAGGGAAGTGGATGGGCAGGGATCCTCCAGCGGGATTGCCACAGAAGGGCTGTATCCGCCGATAGGACCGAGGTCCAACCCGATACAAATTGTCATTCCTCTGCCCACCTGAGACTTTGAATGAGTTTTAATGTGTGTGGCATGTACATGTGTGTTTAGCATTAAGATAGAGGGAAATATTGTTTCTTATTTCCTGTTGAGATAAAGGGTTTCGGACCAGAATAAAATGATAACCAGCGTACAGTTGCTTAGTAGATGTTACTTCCAAGTTCTGGTGAAGAAAAGGGGTAAGAGAGAAGTGTCCTTGGTCTGAGATGTGTTCTCTTCCCTCTTGCCTGGGGACACAGGAATTTGCTCACAGCAGACACCTGGCATCGCTGGGATGTGCTGAAAGTGGAGAGGCCCATCCCCTGCAAATAAAAGGCTGAGCCCCTAACGCAGGGAGGGATTGCATTTGGTTGCTAGTCGTAGAACAACCCAAGTTAGGATGGCGTACTCAAATTGGGCTTTAGTTTCCTCAGAACAGGAATCCAGGCTGGTACACTAGCTCCATGATGCCATCAGGAGCCCAAGCTCTTATTTTCTTCCCAGGTTTGAGCAGGTGGTTTCTTTCTCATTTTTGTCCCCTTGCTGTTTAGCACAGAGGCTGAATTCCAGGCAGAAGGAAGGGAAGGGTTAGCTAAGCTAGCTAAGTGTGCCTTCTTTTAAAGACTTTAAGGTGTCTGAGTATGGCTTATTGGCCAGATCTGTGTTAGTTACAGGGTCACCCTCAGTTCCAAGGGAGTTTGGGAAATTAAGTGTTTTGCTAGGTACATTCTTGCTTTGAAAAAATTGGGATAGGGATGCAGGAGAAAATAGATGTTGGGAGTCAACCCATTTGTATTTGAAGGTACACTGTGGGCCAGGTACATGCTGTGCTTAGTCTCTGCATTGTCCCCTTTAAGCTCCCAACAACCCAGGAAAGCTGGCGCTGGTGTCCCCATTTTGCATATGAGAACCCTAAAACCAGAGATGTGAGGGACTCACCCAAGGGCCCCCCAGCTTATATTGGGGTGAAGCCAACACTTGAGTCCAGGCCTGACTGGCTCAAACTCCTATGGGTTTGTGGTGCTCGAGGAGTGGTGTAGATGGCCCAAATGGTCCTGAATGTCAGGAATGCCCTGTGTTTAGAATAGTAACAGATTCCAGGTGCTTACGATGACAGCAGTGACCTCCAGGAAAGGCTCGTGTCAGCTTACCTAAGCGTCGAGGCCCTGCACGGCCAGCTTCTCTGAGTGACACACCGGCAGCCAGGGGGTGCTTCCTTCTTTCCCATCACTGTGCTAAATCGAGCATGGCAAATCTATTTTGTGACAGGTCTCCTGATTTGAGAAGTCGTGTGTTAAATTGTTGGGAATGCAAGGAGACAGGGAGAAAACCAAAAAGCATTTTTGCCTTCAAGCCTATAACTTAGTAAATTAAATGTTGAAGCCACGTAAGGTGGGGGAGCGGGGAGCATTACCTTCCCCTTTCTTACCTGTAGCTATAGTCTGATGATTTGGGGGCACAAGAGCATCTTCTGTGTGTCCCAGCAGCCGTGAGTGGGACTAGGAGTCTGTTCATAACTCTAAGTCCTGGGGCCTAGAAAGCGGCCAGACTACCATTCTTTTAGCTCCTCTCTAAAGGTTTGTTTTGCAGTAAGTGCTGGTGTTAATCTGAAGAAAAGGATTTGTCATTGCCTATAAAATTTATTTTCAGAAAGTACTGACATATCTGAGCTGGACTGCCCCAGATGAGCAAACAGATAGCAATAAGAAAGGCATGAGATTGTCACATGTACCATTTATTCATTCGGCAGGATTTATAAAGCACCTGCTCTGTTCCATCTCTGCACAGAAGTTCTGGGCGTGTAATATTTGGCGAGATGGGCCTCTCACCTGATGGAGCTCGTGGTCTGCTCGGGCTGTTAATGTCCAGTTAGATTAGTGTGACCATGGAATCAAAGTTCTGATCGGACCGGGTGTATGTGGCTGGGATGGCTTCTGGGAGGAGGTGACATTTTAGTCAGATCTCAGAGGAGTAGAAGTTTAAGTAGGCGGAGTGAGGGACTGGACATGAAAGGTGGTCCAGGCAGAGGGAACAGCCCATGCAAAGGCCTGGAGGTACTTTGGGGGGTCTTGGGGGCCGGCTGCACTGTCTGGAATGGGCTGAATGTACTGCTGTCATTGCAGGGACATGGAGAAGCTGGAGCGGCAGGCAGTCCCCCAGGTCAACCATGCAGAATCCTGTCGTGAGTGTGGCCGCGTGGGACCCGGACACGCGAGGGATTGTCCTCATCGCCGCCACGAGGACTCCTTCGGCTTTGAGAGGCGGGAGCAAGAGGAAGAACGGTACCGTTCCCACCCACTGGAGGGCAAGAGGGACAGGAGCAAGGCCCGGTCCCCATACTCACCAGCTGAGGAAGACGCCTTGTTCGTGGATTTACCCGGGGGCCTGAGGGGCCAGCAGGCACAGCCCCAGAGGGCAGAGAAGAATGGCATCGCATCTGGCCCAGGAGAGCAGAATGGGACTGGAGGATACCAGCGGGCCTTCCCTCCCAGGACCAACCACGAAAAGCACAGCCAGAGGAAGAGCAGCCTGGCCCAGGTGGAGCACTGGGCCAAGTCCCAGAAGGGGGACGGCAGGAGGTCAGTAATAGACTCAAGATCGCTGCTACCTGTGAGCATAGTAAGGGAGTAATAGCATCTGTCACTTACCCAGCACTGGGTAATGCTGGCCTTAACCTCTACATCCATTATCTCCAAAAATCTCCTACCAGTTCTGCAAAGAGGGGGCAATCGTCCCAGTTTATAGATAGGAGACTGAGGCTGGGAGAAGTGCAGGAACCTGCCCAGGGCGCACAGACACGTGGCAAAGCCAGAGCTCAGACCCAGGCCTGTGAGCCTCCCAAGCCCATGAGAGATAACCTCAGGAGGCTTCTCTGTTCCCCAGGGAGTGGGCTTTGAGACTGAGCATGTAGACAGTGACTCCTGTTCTTTTTTACGCTGCTCCTTCTCTGCATCTGGGAAGTATCTGTAGAAACTAGAGGGAGTCCAGGCCCATTTCTAACCTCGGGCACCCACAGCAGCACCTGGGCACTGTTGGCATCAGGCTTTATCACACCCGTTCCTTCAAGAAGCAGTTTTGGCCCTGACCGGTTTGGCTCAGCGGTTAGAGCGTCGGCCTGCGGTCCGGAGAGACCCGGGTTCGGTTCCCGCTAAGGGCATGTACCTCGGTTGCAGTTTGTCCCCAGCCCTGGTCGGTCGTGCGGGTGGCAGCCACTCGATGTGTTCCTTTCACGTCGATGTTTCTCTCTCTCTCTCTCTCTGTTCCTCTCTCTCCCTCCCACACTACCTGAACAAAAAATGGAAAAATGTCCTCGGGTGAGGATAAAAAAAAAAAAAGAAAGAAGAAGCAGTTTTGAATTATGTAGAGCACACGTATCCTTGCTGTTTGCAGAGCACTGTCTGTATTTTATTATAATTTTAGATTACTTAGGACACATTCATGAACGTGAAGAATTCAGGGTCACCCAGCTTCCATTGTCTCCAGAGGCCACTGTGTTTTGTCTTCATTGTGAAAACACCAAAACCCCTCACGGTCCTTGGGCTTGTAAAACAACCACGGACGGTAAAGCCATAGTGCCTTCAGAAAGCTCCCCACGGGCGAGAAGGGCTGGTGGAAGTGCCAGAGCTCAGACCAGGTCTGTCTCAGGCCTGACAATCACGAGCTAAAGTGCCACCCTGGGTGAGCCCCAGACGTGCCCCCTTTGGGCCCTGGAGGCAATGCGCGCCCAGGGGAGCAGCGTCTCCTGTTTCTGGGTGTGGCAGTGTGGTGTGCATGTCAGGGTTGTGTAACCTCTTCATTCTGGTCCAGCTGGACAAGGTAGATGGTGAGAAATCACAGTGGAACTCCCCTACACAGCTGGTAGACATTGTTGCGGGACAGACCAGGAGGACGAAGGCCTTTTGTCTTGTAGCTAAGATACTCATCCATTCCCACCTGGGACAGAGCAGGTGTCCGTTCTGTTTGTCCACATGTTGTGTCTTGTTGAACAGGGAAGCTGCTGCTCAAGCACTGGGGAGGAGCTTCTGCTCTTTGTGTAGCATGAGGTGGTTTTAAGGGACCTCGCTGCTGAATGAGGTGGGAAAGCTGGGTTCTTACATTAAGGTGCAGGTCCTCATGTTAATGTATGGAATTTGGATTTTATTTGAAAAAGCAACATAGGGAACCATGGGAAGGTTTTAAGCAGGTAAGTGATGTAACAGGATTAACAATTCACAAAGAAGTTAAGCGCCTAGGGAGGAGGCTGTTGTCATCCAGAATGGTGACAGTGGAGACAAAGAAATAGATTGGAGGCCCATTTGGAGGCTTAAAAGCAAAGCGTGTCAATGAGTGGGATGTCCAGGATGACAGAAAGGGAGGAACAAGGAGGATCCTTAGAATTTTGACTTGAATAACTGGGTGGTTCTGATATGGGGAAGGCTCAGAAACAAGTTTAGGGAGGATCAGGATTTCCATTTTAGACATGTAAGTTTGCAAAACTTATTAGCTGTCCGAGGGGAGATGTCAGGTAGGCATTTGGATATGGATGGTGGTGTTGAAGTTTGAGGGCTGATTGGACATGCCAATAGGGGACAATCAGCATATAAATGGTACCCCAACACTTAGAAGTTGGCAGCAGAAGAGAGACCCTGCAGCGAAGACAGAATGGTCAAAGGGAAACTCATAAGTTAGCCAGTTCCTCTTATATGTAACTCTTAGGAACTGAAGTCAGTAGGGAGCTGGCGAGGGGAGACCAGAGCAGGAGAACCCAGAGGTAGGAGCAGATAGGAAGGGTGAGGGTTTGACCCTGATGAGCCTGTGTTTCCTGCCAAAGAGTTTGGATTTAGCTGTGAAGGCCGTTGATGAACTTCCACAGCAGCCTGGCATGGCGTCGGTACTGAGAATGGTGGTTCAGAGGGTGTTGGCAGGGAAGCGGGGGGTGCAGAAAGGACTTTCAAACGCTGTGGGACGGCTGTGCCTTCTGCGTTACTCCTTGTGAACTGTCTGCATGACTGCTCCTGGCAGCCCACCAACCATCTGCTGGGGGGCAGGGGCACATCGGGGAGCCCAGCAGATGAGAGGTGGCCCAGGAATGCGTCGGACTGTCCCGAGGATGTGAGATGGGAGTTGCAGCCATGCTGATCTGAGGAGCAGGGTGACATCAGGTCTGTAGCTGAAAGCAGTTCATGACCCTGCAGGTCCTGAACTCGCAGTGAGGGGGATTTCCGTCTGGTGGTAGAAGCACTTCTCAGTGGGCTCAAGAGTAAAAGTGAGGAGTTGAAGGGAGAGTGGGACTGCCCTTTCTAGAAGAAAGCGGTCAGTCTCTGAGTAAGCAGAGTGCTCAGTCTCTGATCATTCTCGTAGCTTGAAAGCACTGACTGAGCCTTGCATTCCCAGAGTTGGTTTTTTTCTTTTTCTTCAAGATATATTTGAAATCTCTGACAGTCAAGTAATAAATCAATCTGGCTGCTTAATAAAGAAACCTCCTCCATTTGAAAATATAGACGATGGATATCTCTGTATTGTGAATGATTAAGACTTTGCTAATCTCATTACATTGAACACATGGGACATTGGGAGGAGGGTTATTTGGGCTGTATTTGTGGCTCTAGACCACACAAGGAATTGTTTCTAACTGTTCTTTCAGTACTTGGAGATATATTATGTCTCACATCATTAAATTCCTTTAGAATGATGGTTTGGGGGAGACACACTGATGTACCCTTAGAGTTTTAATTCATTTTAAGAGATTATTTTGAAATTCTAGCCTTCTACTTTTCCCCCAGTATTTAAATTAATGCACACTTGTAAAATAAGAAGGCTGGGGTGGGGGTGGAATTGGGGACTCAAGCATTACTGCTAGGAACAAAGTAGAAAGTGGAAGTCCTGAATAATTGATGTGGAGGTTAGGGTGAGGAATATCTGTTGAATAAATAATTGGTTATAGAGTTTGATTTTACATTCTGATGTGACCATTTTGTAGTGGCTGTATCAGAATATCCTGTTCGGTCTGGTGCCTTTTAGACCAGGGAGGCCCCATAGCTACAGAGCAGGGTGTGAGGACAGGGGACCTTGAGCACGCTTGGGGTAAGGCTGGAGCTGGAGGCCAGCAGGTGGATCTGCTGCAGGAGCAGAGCTGCTATGGGAGCTCCTGCCTGCTCCCAGGGTGATCCTATCATGTCTTACTCCCCGCCCACTTCCTGTGTCCTCCCTCTGGGGCCAGGGCTCACCCTTGACTGGGATCTTCAGGGCCTCCCAATGGCCAGCACTGGCCGGGTTGGGTGTGGGGGTGTGTGGTGGCCGTGCACAGGCAGTGAGCACAGGCTAGAGAACAAGCTGCAGGCTTTGGGGCGCTGCCCGGTGGGGGCCTCTGACCATGGGACACCGGAGGCAGGCACCAGTGGGCCGCAGAGCCAGAGTGAAGGGGTGTGGGAGCGCAGGTCAGACATGCTTCAGGCAGAGTGAACAGTGGTTAGTAAAGTCATAAGCTCCCCAGGGGAAGCCCCCCGGGCCTGGTTGGTGCCGCTACCTCTCCACTCCCAGAAGATTCGGGCGCTGCCCCTTCCTCAGAGGCACAGTCCCTCCGGCGCTGGGCGTTCAGCAAACCCTGCCACCTAGTGGCAAGGAGACCGGCTAAACAGACACACTAGACAAGTCTGGGTTGAAGAGATCTCAACATTACGTCTTGTAATGGCAAAGATAACGATAAAAAGGGAGAAGAAAGCTACCATTTTTTAATGCCATTTCTAATCCTCACAACAATCCATTAAGTGGTTCTTAGTGTCCCCCTTCACTGCAAGGAAATGAGGGCATACATGACAGCCGAGGTCATATAGTTGGGAAGTGTTAAATGAGATGAGTTTTAAAACAATTAGAACGACGTTAGGACAATTACAATGTTGGCCACCTAAGGTCTTGTTAAAACACAGGTGGCTGGGCCCCACCCCCAGAGTTGCTGACTTGGCCATTTGGCTGGGACCTGATAACCTGCATGTCTGACATACCTGGTGGTGCTGATGCCCGTTCGCAGACCACACTGGGCAGTACGGGCTTGGAACACTGCCTTGCCCACGGTCGGCACTCTGTAGAACCTTGTTAGGTAAAATTGATAGGAAAGGCAGAGTCCGGATTCCAACCCAGGCCTGTCTGATTCTCACACCTGTTCTCTCTCTCTCTCTCTTTTTTAAAATGGAGTTGAGGAATTCCTCAGTGCAGTAATTCACAAAAATTTTCTAGAGTTAAAGGATATATCTATATTTTTAAACTTTTTTTTTTTTTATCCTCACCCGAGGACATTTTTCCACTTTTTTATTCAGATAGAGTGGGAGGGAGAGAGAGGAAGAGAGAGAGAGAGACATCAACATGAAAGGGAAACATCGAGTGGCTGCCACCCGCATGACCCAACCAAGGCTGGGGACCAACTGTAACCGAAGTACATGCCCTTAGCAGGAACCGAACCCGGGCCTCTATGGACCGCAGGCTGATGCTCTAACCGCTGAGCCAAACCGGCCAGGGCTATATTTTTATATAATTTTTTTTCTTTATTGATTTGAGAGAGAGAGAGAGAAACATTGATGAGAGAGAACATCGATTGGCCGCCTCCTGCATGCCCCTCACTGGGGATCAGGCCCACAACCTGGGCAAGTGCTCTGAATCGAACCAGCGACCTCTTGGAACATGGGTCGACAGTCAACCACTGAGCCACACCGGCCGGGCGACACCTGTTCTCTTTTTACAACATCATACCACCTCTCAGGTTTGACTTTTAAGGCTGGATAAAACTCTATGCTTTGCCCTTTGCTGAATTTTCTTTCACATAACAAGATGGCTGGTTGTAGTTTTCACAATTGTATCCAGCTTTTGTGTGCTGGCATATTTGTTGAAAGGCTGTTTATGCGTCAAGCCTTTCTCAGACCATGGACAGTCCCACAGAATGTGAGGCACAGTTCCTGCCCTGCAGGGATCTACAGCTTGGCTGGAAAAGAGATGTCTTGCGAGTACAGAAAGGTTCTGGCAACACAGGACCTCAGGAAAGTTACCAATCATACAATAACTAGGTCAGAGCAGGAACCCCGAGGGCTGCGGCGTTGCAGAAGGCCTCTGTGGAAGAGGCGGGACAGTTCCTGGAGAATAAGTGAGGTTAGGGTGAGTGGGGTGAGGGCAGCCCAAGCAGGTGGGGAGGGAAGAACCGGACTGTGAGATGAGTGCCGGGAGGGAGCAGGCGCAGGTGAAGTGCCTGCTGTGCGGCAGGCCGGGACCCTGCTCTCTCACTTGTCTCACGGACTCTCAGAGCAGCCTGTGAGGTAGGTAATTCTGTCCTCATGTTACAGATAAGGAAGCTGAGCCTCAGAGCAGTGGGGCAAGCTGCCTAGGGTCACCTCTCCAGTGGATGTTAGAGCTAGGATTCAACCCCAGGACAGACTGCCTCCGCTTTTCCCCCGGGAGAAGTTGCCCAGGGGTGCAGGAGGCTGGGCTCCCACTCTCAGGGTGAGGCTCTCCCTCTCGGACTCCAGTGAGTACAGGGCTGCCCCAGCTCAGCCCTGGCCCCAGGAGGAGAGACAGTGAGAAGACAGCAGGACTGCAAGGTGGGTTGAGGTCAGATGCTGGAGAGCTGTGAGGACCAGGCAAAGAGGTTTAGACTTTATTTCATAAGCAGTGGGGAGCCATTGAAGTTTATGGAGCACAGGAGTGATTGGATCTGAGCACCTGACGTACAGTGTTCAAGCTAGTGAGGAAGGTCTCAAAGTTGTCTGTGTGATGGGGGAGGGGGTCATTAATCAGTGTATGAACTAGAGTGGTAGACAGAGAAAGGAACTGATGACAGCCACTTCTTACGAACCTGTAGAACTCGGTGCTGGGAGACCAGGCAGAGGGAGAGTCTTGTGAGGTTCCTAGCAATGTGCCCACCCATCAGAAGAGCAGACGGGGTCAAGCGGGAGAGGGGAGAAGGCAGGATTCACCACACTGCACTTGAGGTGATGGGCTGGGGTCCCCAGTCGGCCTGGTGGAGGGTCGACACTCCAAGGCTGACGGGGAAAATGGTTTGGAGTCCTCTGCCAGGAGAAAGTCCAGCATGTCTGCCTTGATTGTCCGTTGGAGTTCTTACGGGGCTCACTCGGAAGCCTGGCTGACCCTTGTGGGTCATCTTACCTGTCCTCCTTTCTCCTCAGCCTGCCCCCGGACCAGACCCTTCCTCGCCACGGTCCCAGCCAGTCCCTGTCCTTCCCTGAAAACTACCAGACTCTTCCCAAGAGCACCCGGCACCCCTCAGGGGGCTCCTCGCCGCCTCCTCGCAACCTGCCGAGTGACTACAAGTACGCGCAGGACCGAGCCAGCCACCTGAAGATGTCGAGTGAGGAGCGCCGGGCACACCGGGACGGCACCGTGTGGCAGCTGTACGAGTGGCAGCAGCGCCAGCAGTTCCGGCACGGCAGCCCCACGGCGCCCATCTCCGCGGGCTCCCCGGAGTTCACCGACCAAGGCCGGAGCAGGAGCATGCTGGAGGTGGTCCGCTCCATCTCCGTGCCTCCATCTCCCTCGGACATCCCTCCCCCGGGGCCCCCGAGGGTCTTCCCACCCCGGCGGCCACACACGCCCGCAGAGAGGGTCACTGTGAAGCCACCCGACCAGCGGAGGAGCGTGGACATCTCGCTGAACAGTTCTCCCAGGAAGGCATGGGGCCCTACCACCAAGGTGAGGCTCTGGAGTCCTGCCTGGCAGCTGGGAACCTCACATGGTTTGAACACGAATTTGAACAATTTGCAGTAACAATAGCTAACATTTGTGCAGTACTTTTAGGTGTCAGGTGCAGGCTTTACTTTAATTCTTACAACAGCCCTAAGAAGTAGGTGCTATAATGATGCCCATTTCACAGATGAGAACTCTTGAGCCATTAAGAAATGAGTAACTTGCACGGGGCAGACAGCTATAAGCCTGCTTTCTTGCAGCATGGAAGGCAGGAAAAGTCATCAGTGTTCAATCAGTTTAATTATGCCTTATAACCCAACTTAAGTTTGAACTCTGCAAGCTTTCAGTTTGTCACTGCTATAGCTAGTGAGACAGGTGTGTATGCCCCTTTTACAGATTTAGAGTGAGGCTCAGAGAGGTGAGGTGCATGAGGCAGGCTGCCCTGGCAGTGAGTGGCAGGGGTTCTGGCCCTGGCCCGGCCCTCAGTGTGACTTCTTGTCTCCCACCTGCAGAACTTCTCTCACGTGGACCGACGCTCCATGCCCTCCATGGGTTACATGACCCACACTGTCAGCGCTCCCAGTTTACATGGGAAATCGGTGAGTAGGGCTTCATCCCCCGTCCAGGTGAATGGTATAGTACAGCCTGCAAAGGGCTCATCTCATCTGTTTCCCCCCTGAGACGATCAAAAGCAGTCTGCAGGGCAGTTATCAACCCCCATTTTAGAGATGAGAACATTGAGGCTCAGAGAAGTCGAACAACTTGCTCAGGGTCACCCAGCCAGCACTGGGTCCGTCCCAGATCCGACGAAGACCTGGGGGAAGTGGAAGAGAATGTGGGCTTTTCTTCTCTTTCGGGCAGCATTTTCCAGCCACCTGCTTTTCTCTCGTCAGCTCCTCTCCTGGTCTTTGCTTTGATTAGTTAACTGTCTTCAAAGTGTGAGTCTGGGTGCACTGTTGGTTGCTGTTTTCTGAAAAAAGTACTTCCAGCAGCACCTTTTCTGCTAGTGCCTTTATTTGTCCTAATGACAGAATTAATGCAGTAATTACCTAATGGTGTCACATCAGTGCTGTCCCAGCGCGGGGCGAAGAGTAATTATAGCATCGTGCTCCTACGGTGGCTAATTTCCTCGTAATGTGTCTGCACACCTGCAGCTGGAGGAGCTCTCGCTGCTGCTCACCCGGTTACGGCGGCACCAGGCCAAGTTGGCCAGTGTGCGAAATTTCGCTGTGGGCCAGTTACTGCAGCACCAGCTGACCTTTCCCACCTGCCAGGTCAGCACTGGTGGGCTCTCTGGGGCCCGGGGCCACCCCAGGGGCAAGGGAGTGACTTGCTGGCCCGTGTTCCTTCGTGCCCACGCTCTAGTCTGTATTGCTTTCTGGCTCTCTCCCTCGTTCCCTGCCTGTTTGCTTCTGGATGGTACTGCCGGACACTGCCGTGGTGGTGGGGTCCGTGCCCGGGCACCGGGGAGGAGGCTGCATGTGGTGTGAGGGCCCTGAACTGTGGCTTCTCTGGCTGTGAGCAGTGACTGGCAGGCTGGTGTGTGGTCATGTCCAAGGGGCTGTGCTGGCTGTCGTCCCCGTTGCCACCTTGGGCACATCCCTTACCCTGGTGGGCCTCACAGTGACCGGGCAGAGGTTAGGTAGGACAGGAATTATTAGCACACAGCAGGCAGTGGATTAAGTAGAGGAAGTGACTTGCCTCAGGTATACCCAAAGCCCAGGGCCTGCCTGGCACAGTGTTCTGCACTTTCCAGGACATGGGGGTTTGCAGGCAGGCTCCGTGGAGTGTCAGGCAATTGCTCTCTCCAGCATCTGGAGCCCTTAAAGAAGTTGCTGGCCCAGGCGAGGCGGGCCCCTCTGAGCTGCACAGGCATCGGCAGAAGACCAAGGAGGGTGATGGGGTTGTCGCCTTCCTTATCCTGTTTTAGTGAGATCAGAGGGACTTAGGAAATGTCTTTTAAAAAAATGAATTTAAGGGAACACTTACAAAAACCCGAAGTTGTGAATTTGGGTGATTTTTAGATAACATTGATTTAGTAACATTAATATATTAATAATTTATTAATGATTTAATAACACTGCTCCGTCCTTATTGCTATGGGAAGTGTATAGGGACTGGACTAAGGAACTAGGGATGGGCAAGGGGACAGTTTAGGGGCAGAAATAAGATCTTGCTCATCACTAGTGTCCCTGGCAGTGGTCCCTCAGGCTTCTCATGCTCAAGAGCACTGCCTGACTACCTCGCGTGGTCTGTGCTTGTTTTACGTCAGAGCTGCGACAGGCCACCTTCGAGCCCTGACTCACCTTGGCTCGCTGGGAGGCCTTGCAGCTGAGGGAGTGGTGCCTGGACTGCTCTCCTCAGTGCTCACACAGCTTCCGTGATCTGGACGTGGGAAGCACACGTTCCTGGAGAGCGGCCTTTTCAGTATTCTTACTTTTCCTCCTCATTATTCTGAAGAACTCGACAGACTGTCTGACACTGGACTGTCCTCAGCTAGCTCCTGACATGGCCACATTGGCTCCACGCTGAGCAAGGAAGCCAAACTCTCAAGAACATCCAGTGGCTGCTGGTGCTTGTTATTCTGAAACCCAAGGTCATAAGGGGACCTCCCTGGGCCACCTAGGTCATCTCTCCGTCTCTTCCGAGCATTTATTCGTACCAGTCAGGGGGTCACTTTGCTTCATGCATGTGAATAACCCAGTGCAAAGGTTTGATGACAAATGTGGAGTACTGGTGATAGATGGGACCCTAGCTCAGGCGTAGCACATCCTCTTCCAGGAGGACCTCTGGAGTTCTGTCTCAGGAGATCACCTCCGCCTTGACTGCATTGCTGTCCTAGCCTCTGGCGGGATGTGTGCCACCCCCTTCCTTGCCATCAAACCGTGCCCTCAGCTAATGAGAGGACAAGCTGGCTTTCCCCACAGTGACCTGCAAGGTCCACCAGGCTGCAAGCAGGCTCCGAGCTGTACTGAAACATTTGTGCTTCCTCTGTGGCCCTGGATGTGTTGGTCTGCTGTGGTCCCTGCCCGCCGTGCTGTGCAATGTAAATAATTCATGAAGCCTGAGTCATGGAAACCCTTGGTGTTTGAAACTGTGTTTTTTCCCCCTGTGCTTCATTTGAAGGCTGATGATACCTACCTCCAGCTGAAGAAAGACCTGGAATACCTGGACCTAAAGGTGAGTGACATCAGGGGTCTTGCTTCCCTTGGACACTCCCTTTCTGAGAGCATCAGCTCCACTGTAGCCAAGCCCCAGCCAGAGACAGTGCAGGTCTGATCAAGTCTGGATCCCAGGTGGAGACAGCTGCTGTCAGAGTCAGAAGAGTTGATTTCTAGCAGCCTCAGATTCTGGGCTCAGTGTCCTGTGAATTCTGCTGTAAGGTCTCTGTCTAACAGAACGAGGCCACAAGATTCGGATCTCTTCCTGTCCTTGGTCAGAACCCAAAGGTCCCTGCAGATAATAACTGGTTGGTTCTTCAGAGCCTCCAGTGGGGTGGGAGTGAGTTTGGTTCATAGGGTGCCACTGATGTGTGCTTTTGGTCACAAGTAGGTCGGTGGATTGTTTGTTGCTGGGGGAGAGGATTCCACACGGAATTACGTGTCTCTGAGGGATGCCGCCATCCCATCCCGTTTCGGAGATGATCCCTGGTGATAAAGCTCCAGGCTCTAAATCAGCCTCCTTTGCACAGAGCCCGAGAAAGCCGTGGAATTGAGAGGCATTCTGCCTGAAAGCTGCCATTGTTGCATTCACACGGTTCTCTGAAAGCTCACACTGTGAAAAGCACTCCTTATGCCTGAGCCATGAACCAACTGAAGGAATGTGACCTTTAATTAACGGCGGTGTGAGAAGGCGGGTGCAGGGCTGGGGGAGGGCACCAGTGACTGCCGCAGGGGCATGCCTCCCCAGTCCCCTGTGCACCTGGCTGGAGAAGTTTCAACACGGAGATGGTCATTCAGTCCTGTAGAAGTGGGGTACGAACATTAGGCCCTATCACAGCAGATGGGGGGGCTTCCCCGCACTGAGGTCTGTTTAGAAATCAACTATTTAACTTCTGTATCTATTGAGCACATGCTCTGTACCCAGCTCTGAAGAAGCCTAGAGGAGATGCAAGAGTAAAATTGAGGGTCTCTGGGTTGAGGAAAAAGAATATCCCCAAACAACAGACTTACTTACAAAGACCTGGCGCAGTGCTCAGGGCTGAGATGATGAGGAGCACTATGGGCTGCAGTGCTGGGCAGGCCTCCAGAGGAGGTGGCACGTGTGTGAAGCCTCGAAGAGCCAGAGGGTTTGGGTTGGCTGAGATTAAAGGGAAGGGGATGGAGGGAGCGAGGGTGTGGGTGTGTGACCAGGGCAGGGGGAAGATGGAGACAGATCATTCATGTTCCAGAGTCTACCCAGGCTTCAGGAAGGGAGGTGCAATGGACAAAAGTCTGACTTGGCTTTTGGACATGAGCAAAACACATCTGTCCAAACCAGGACATCTCTAATTTATCTGGTGAACACAAATATTGTAAATATGGTAGTAATGCCTCAGGGTACAAAGTGCTCAGACAGGGCGGTGTGGGCTGAATGTGCAGCCCAGCCCATCCTCCCGTGCCCTGATGGGACAGGGCAGGGTCCTTCCACCACCACCATCCCCACCAGGCCCCAGCTTCCACCTGCCATGTGTGCCACCACATCCCTGGTCCCTGGTCTTCCTGATCGCCAGCCACCACCCCTGTTTTCTCTCACCCTGTTCTGGCCATGTCATCAGACCTGTATGTACTGAAGGACCGTAGAGCATCCCTGTGCCTCGGCCTGGGGCAAAGGCTTGGCCAGCAGCAGCAGCACAGGTACGCCACGAAACACCCTTCACCATGCTTGGTGCCCAGTGCAAGAGAAACTTACTACAGTGCCTCAGCCAGAAAAGTGGGTATCTCTGTCTTCTGACTCCTGTTTGTATGGGAGAGCTGAAACTCATTGTTGTCCTGGGGGAAAGATAGATCCATCTCACGTTTGTTTTATTTCAAGGTAAAGGGAATTTAGAGAGAGAGAAACTGAGGCACAGGATAGCAGAGCAGAGCCAGGAGTCCCTGTGTGTCCTGACTCCCATGAGAAGCTTCCTAGCAACAGAGGGTAGGAGGAGTGCCTGCCACTGGTCTACTCCTGATACATCTGGGAGTCCTGCAGTGGTCCTGGAAGGGAGGTGGTGGCATCATTTTGTTAGAGATGGAAGCTCAGAGAGAGAAATGACTTCCTCAGTGCACAAGAGTACTTCCCAGGGAGTCAGCTTTGGGTGTCGTTCTGACTCTGAAGCTCGTGCTCTTAATCCCGTTGCTTCCCAGACTGTCTGAACATGCTGCTGCTTCTGTGGGCCCAGAGGAATTCAGTTTTTTATGGAACTGAGCTGGGGTCATTATGCCAGGAAATGTGTTTGATGGGACGGAGGCATGGCGTGTCCTTGGGTGTTTCACTAGCTGGGAGCTGTATGTACCCAGCACATTAGTAACTGGGAGTTGTCACTGTTTGTCATGAGAAACAGCTGTGTTGACACCAAACTTCCCCTGGCCTTGTGCTGTTACTCCAGTTGCTGGCTGCTCTCAGAACTAGTCCCCCAGATCGTTGTACCTCGGCCCGTGTGGGAAGAGATGCTGGGTTTGTGCTGCGTGTGAGTCATCAGTCTGGCGTGGCTGCGGGAAGGGCTGCTACCACCCTGGCCTGCCTCCGAAAGACGGGTGCCTAGATCCGGGAGGCAGCGGCCTGCTCTGCTCTGACCCAGCCGGGGTATAGTCCCCAGATGAGGGAAGGGCTGGAGGCAAAGGAGAGGTGCTGAGGGTCTGCAAGGACCATGCTGAGGAGTGTGTAGGTGAGATGCTTTCATTTGCCAGTGTCTGAGACCCACGTCACCTACTAAGCCAGAAAGGGGAATCTACATTCCAGGGGCTCAGGCCACATGGTCACTGTTCTCCTTTCCTTGGCGTGCGGGCTGCCTGCACACGGCCAGGGAAGGCGGCCACCTGTGGATCCAAGGTCATGGCCTCCCGGTGGAGAGAGGCAGGGGTCCCTAGGGGGAAGGCATGCTGGGCAGGAAGCTCCAGCACAGAATGGTCAGGGGGAAGGGCGATTCGGGAAGACACAGAGACCGTCTGTAGAGCTCTGAATTACCACCAGGTGCCTCCGGTGGCCTGAAGGGGGAATTCAGACAAGTGAGCAGTAGCTACGGGTAGACGGGTTTCAGTTCAGTAAAAGACTTTTCTAAAAGGGCCACCACAGGTCATGGTGAGCTCCCCATCACTGGAGGGCAGCTGAGGTCTGAGGAGCATTGGGTGGAGGAGCGACTGGGTCAGGAACACCAAGGCCCCCTGGCTCTTGAGATTCTGTGATGTGGTAGACAAAGTGAGCTGATGCTGGGCCCATGGGGGCCTGAGACAAGGGCCTCCGTGGACATAGTGGATGCTGGGCCCATGGGGGCCTGAGACAAGGGCCTCTGTGGACACAGTGGATGCTGGGCCCATGGGGGCCTGAGACAAGGGCCTCTGTGGACACAGTGGATGCTGGGCCCATGGGGGCCTGAGACAAGGGCCTCTGTGGACACAGTGGATGCTGGGCCCATGGGGGCCTGAGACAAGGGCCTCTGGACACAGTTGAATGGACCTTTGCATGGAGATAGTGACAGGCACAGTCCCACAGTCACCAGCTTCTTGTGAGAGGTCTCTCCTGGGTCCTTGTGGGGAGGGTAAGGGGTAAGCCTCTCTGGAGGACAGTCTCTCCATCCCCACCCGCTTGGCCTAGAGGCCCCCTTGTCTCTGCCAAAGGCCACGGACTTAAGGATCCTGAGCCCATCACCCCTCCATCAGTGGACGCTTCCGGAATCAGTGGGTGGTGGTGTGGAGCTTTTTCTCCCTGAAGTGAGCATTCCTGCTGCGTGCCAAGTGATCCCACAAAGGCATACTCCACTGTCTTAGAAAACGCTGTTTCATGTTCTTCTTAGAAATGTTTACTTCTCTGGCGTTTTACCTGGCGGTGCCAGGGTGGAAAGGACTCCACATAGATTAAGCATCTGTTCCTGCCTGGCAGTGTTTGGGCAGTTGATGTTCCTATCTCACGCCATCCTCTCAGCATCCTTGAGCAATAGGAGTTATTATCCCCACCTTACCAACCAGAAACCCAAGCATCAGAGAGGTAGCTTCTGCAAAGTCACACGGCTGGGATTCAAACCCAGTGACCAACCACACTTGCCTTCTTTCTTCTGCGTACCATGCACTTCGCCCTCCCCCACCCAAAGGTGTATTTGCTGGAGTGTACGTATTGCATCGAAGTTCTGCTCTTCAGGACCCTTCACCCTGGCTAGGTCTGGAGAGAGTGTGGGGGGTAGCTGTTGTTGACAACTTGAACTGTTTTTATGCAGCTCCGAAGCACAGCTGGGATGGGGTGCGGAGGGGAGGGGATGTGCAAGCCGCCCAGGTGATGCCTTTGTAGGTAGAGTAGGAGGCAGTCAACTCCAGAGAGGCTCTTGTCCCTGGTGAGGGACATGTCATCAGTGGCTCTAGACCCTTTCGGACTGTTTGAGCCTGAGATCAGGGCTTCTCTCTTCAGGGTGTTTTTCCAAAGTCAGCTTCTGGAGTAGAGTTTCTCAGGTTGTGGGACATCACCTGCTTCAGGATCACCTGGGAGCTTGATAAATCATTGCAAGTCTGGGGGGGCTCTGTTGGATTAGAATCTCTGGAGATGGTGCCCTGAATTTTGTCTTTTTTTTTCTTCTTTTAATCAAGTTTTGGGTTAATTCTTGTGCACACTACAGTTTGAGGTCCGTTGTTCTGGAGAAGAGATTATTAACCCTGGACATGAACTAAAACAACCAGGGCGCTCTTTAATTGAGTATCGTCCTATCCCTTAGCAACTCTGATTTAATTGATAACACTCAGGTATTACTCTTAAAAGCAAACAAAACCTCCTTCAGTGTCTCATGTGTAGCCAAAGTTGAGGGACAGTTTCAAAGCCATGGTTTTCAGTGTGACCTGCAGCATCAGCAATACCTGGGAGTTTGTTGGAAATGCAAAATCTCGGGTCCTACCCCAGACCAGCTTGGTGAGAACCTCTGGGGTGGGGCCCAGCACATCTGTATCCAGTTGTTCATATGGAGAAACCCATGCAGGTTATTATCATTACAGTAGCTTTATTAGCTTAGAAGAATGTCACTCACAACTGTAAACCTGCTTTTGCCCACTCCTGCATTAACAAGCCCTCCAGGTCATTCTGAAGCACCACAAAGTGTGAGAGCCGCTGTTTGGAGTCGTGGTTCCCAGTGCTGGCTGCATATTTGAGAATCCCAGTGCCTAGGCACCCCCACACCAACTACAGCCGAGTCTTAGCGCGGGACTCAGGCATCGTATTGGCTGAAGTTCCTGGGTGACTGCAGTGTCCAGGCCAGGGTTGAGCTGCCCGTCTTAGCGGGTAAGGACAGTCTTCCCTCAGGGAGCTGTCGACACTGGGATCTTCAGTACAACGTGATTCTTTCGATGCAACACGGGTGTGGAGGCGAGGGTCTGGGGGATGAATGATGACACCACTCCAAAGCGTGTGATGAGGGAGGCCGAAGGACAAAGCCAGGTTGCCCCTTGCCTCCTGTGGCAGAACCCAGAATGCAGTGGGCACTCTCACCTACACTCACCTGCCCGAGATCCTTCAGGCGGAGCTTATTGCCCCCATTTTATAGACGAAGGGGCGGAACTCCAGGAAGGTCCGACAGCTGGGAAGCCACACGTGAGGACTTGAGTCCCTGTCACAGAACCACACAGTCACCCATCCCCCTTCAGCTTCCCCCAGTCCTGTCCCCAAATTCTGGCTCCTTCAAGTGTTGTTTGATGTCTCACCTGTTACGTTTTGTTGTATTTACCTTTTTGTTTGGCACAGATAAAAAATAATGAACCTTTGATCAACGTGCTTTACAAAGTGCTGAAGAAGTCAGCACGGGGCTGTCGGCCCAGGAGAAGCGTAAGATGATCTGATCTGTGTCTCCAGGCGGGGCCATTCCATTGCTTCTGGCTCAGGGCCGATTCCATCACTTGCTTAACCAGGGGCTCTCCTGACCACCCCCAGGCTTCCTGCAAGTCATTTCGGTTTATTTTCTTCTATTGGAGCTCCTGTCAACATTTTGGCCGGTACTCCAGGCTGAGCCTCTCATCCATGCTGTTCTGTGACTCCATCTTTTGTGCTGCCACGGGGGTGAGGGGTGGGGGGCTTGCCTAGCTTGCCTCCAGCTTGTGTCATGTTTCCATTGTCACTCATCTGCCTCCACGGTGAGGCCTGCCCTAGACAGAGACCAGCATGGTCTGGGTAGTCAAGCATGAGTTCCTTGGGAGGGAGGTTGTTTCTGGTCACCTTGGAGGAGCTGGGTTGTCTTCAGATTCCACTGTGGGCCTGGGATTAAGGTGACTCCTCTTCAGGGCAGGGTGTTGATGTTGGGAGCTGGACTAGAATAAAACGGGGCCACCCCCCTCCCCCTTGACTGATGCAGAAGTAGTGCCTGGAACACACCAGCTTTAGTTGCATTCCAAGGGAGGCTGCTGGTGCTATGCCGGTCACCCTGAGCCCTGAGCAAGGTGTCTGGGGATGTGGTGGAGGGGAGTAAGAGGCCTGGGTGGCCTTCGGTGCCTTTCTGTTGCAGACACTCTTTCAAATGGATAATGCCCACCGACTCACTTTTTCTGGTGACAGTGATGCTGGGGACCCATCGTTGATGTTCTCAGTGGATTTAAACATTGCTAACGCAAAGTATGGTTTTAAAAGGAAAATTAGATGTAATACACTACTTGTGGATGTCTTAGTAGCCTCAGCTCTCTGGAACAGAGCTAAATTTAGAAGCTTCGCCCTGGCCGGTTTGGCTCAGCGGTTAGAGCATCAGCCTGTGGTCTTGAGAGACCCGGATTTGGTTCCCGCTAAGGACACGTACCTCAGTTGCAGTTTGTCCCAGGCCCTGGTTGGGTGGTGCGGGAGGCAGCCACTCGATGTGTCTCTTTCATGTCGATGTTTCTCTCTCTCTTCCTCCCACTCTATCTGAACAAAAAATGGAAAAATGTCCTCAGGTGAGGATAAAAAAAAAAAAAAAGAAGCTTCACGGGCCTCTGAGCTGTGTACACAGGATCACAAAGCCAGCTCTCAAGCCTGAGGCCTTTACAGGAGGAGGTCTCAGCAGGAGCACAGCCAGCTCACCTCTGATTCGTTACATGTACAGACTCACTAAGCAAACATTTCCCGAATATCCTCAGTATGATAGGCCCTGGCTGGGCTTTGAGGATATGGAGAAAATAGGTCACAGCTCACTTTCACCCCTAATTAGGGTAGTGTCCGGGGAAGAGAGATGGAACATTTAATCTGATGCGCTAAAGCCCTTAGTTGTGGGAGACACAGGTGTGGGAGCATCTCCTTTGAAGGGCACCAAACTCGGCTAGAGGGAGGAGGATGGGGAGCAGCAAGTAAGCCACCTGTGTTGAGGTTCTAGCCCTAACAGACTGCCTGAATTTGAATTCCCAACTCACAGCGCCTTAAAAGGGGACAAGAGGAAGTTAGTTCTTTGAAAAGAGGAAGTGCTAATATCCAGAGAGAGAAAAGAAACATTGTATGTCAATCCAAAATGGAAATGAAAGCCCAGAAATTTGGGAGCACTTACTCAAGGGACAAATAGCCCTAAACGCAAGTTTCTAAGAAATTCTATATTACTTATTATTTAATAATGACTGATTCATCAAAAAAAAATTGAATATATATTCATCATTCTGTGAAGGCAGCGAAGTGCCTACTTTTAATAAGTTTTCCATAAAAAAATTTAGAAGATTCCACTTTCTCAAAATGCCCTTTTTGTGTAGAAGCCCTCACTTAATCCCTGATGGTGCTGAAAAAACCAGGCATCGCTCAATTAGTGTCTCTGCTGTGCTATTTCAGTATCAAAACGATATCATCTGCAAAAAGCTTCAGTGAAGTATGGGGAGGAGTTTTGCCAGGAGGAAAAGTCCCCAAAGCACATCTCACTTTGAAAATGATTTCTTCCTGGGAAATGAGCCGTGTCAGCCCCTTGGAGGGTAGACAAGCTCATCGCCCTCTGTTTTGATGAAGGACTGTCGCACAGAGTGAAGACTCTCCTAGCGTACCTGCTGGGTTCCCCTGCCTTTAAAGTCCCAAGTCCTGCCTGGGAAGTTCAGCTGTTTGTGGTTCACCAGGATTGATTTCACCGCCTCCCTCTCCCCTTCTGCCCTTGCAGAAGCCAGCACACCTGCTTGTTTGTGGATTGTTGCTGTAGTCAGTGTGTTTCATGACTGTACGTGTAGGCATACATAATCTGTCAGTTTGAACAGCAGAATTTGGCTGGAGTTCTGTTTTTTTTCCAGGAACTCTGCAGCACTGACCTACAAATATTTCCCTTTGACCTACCTGCAATGCAATAAGCCTCTGCCGAGTGCCTTTCAGTGTGCCAGGCCTTGTGTTCGGTGCTGACTTGACCATGATAAACAAGACGGTGGTCCCTGCCCTCTACCATGTGACCAGAGGGAGCATGGGAGTGGGTGGGACACATCTGTAGCCAGACTCAGTCCTCAGGCCAAGACAGGATGGAGAAGGCATTCTCCTTTGACCTTTGCTGATGATGATTGTCAGGGGGAGAGAGTATAGGACAGTTGGACATATGTGGGGGGGAAGGGAGCTTGAGTTCTGAGGGAAATGCTTACCAATATATCTCTGCTTCTGATTCACACTCACAAGCTTACTGCATCTCCCAGATGGAGTAGGGAGAAAGCGAGGGCCGTCTCTCCAGCAGCTGTCTGTCCATCCATCCTGGGCTGCACTCATACTACACATACCACCCTTCTTGGCCCTGGTTAGCTACTCCCTTGTCTCTTTCCCTGGGCAGACCTGCAAAATGAAGTTCAGCAAGACCGCCTCGCATACACGGGGCGCATCCACCCTGGCTGTTGTTCTGCCTGTGGCTCGGCCATGACAGGAGGGCATCTGTGCAAAAGCCCTGCCCCTGCTCGGCTTTCAGCAAGAAGGATATTTGGGGGAAATGGAAACATGGACTGGAGCGTTGAGTTTAGCTTCACAGGGGTCGGGGAGAGATGGAGAACCTGTTGCACATGTTGGGTCAAGGGAGGGATGGAGAATGTGAATTTTGACTCACCCATAAATTTGGGTGATTTTTGTCTACTGCTTTGTGGTTTCCTTTCTCAAGAGGACAGGGTAACTTGTAACTTACATAAGTACGGCCCAACCTCAGTTATTCCCGGGTAAATTAAAAACCCCAACCAGTAATTACCCAGCTTCCTTGTTCTCTTGGCCAGATCCTCTTCCCAAACAGTGAGGGGGGAGGCGGGCCTTGCTCATGGGACCTGGGCTGCTCAGACACTCCTTAGGCTAAGGCTTGACGATGCCCGAGGGGTTTGCTTGTTCTCCTGGTCCTCCCACCCCACTGCCCTGGGCGGGGTTCAGGGGCTTCTGTCACTTGTGTTTGACCCGGGTTCAGCAGCAAAACTCTTATCAGTGGCAAATCTTCCAAGATTCGTACTGATTTTGAGCAAATAGAAGCTGCTACAGTTGATGATGCTGTAACTTGAACATCTGCATTTCCTTGAATTTGAGAAATTTACAAGTGCTACTAGAATCTTGAAAAGGTTTTGTTTTTTTTTTCTAAAATGAAATAGGCTTAAAAATAAAGCAGGTATTGCCTGAGTTTTTGCCCCTCCTGTGCCATGACACCTCCTGCCACTGCCAAGACTTCCACACCCATCCATTGGGGGGGCTAACTTTCCTTCCTGAGTTTTAGTCCCAGAACCCGTGGTTAAATCTCCTTCACCTTGTTCACCTCGCAGATGACAGGCCGGGACCTTCTCAAGGATCGGAGCCTGAAGCCGGTGAAGATTGCCGAGAGTGACATCGATGTGAGTGAGCAGAGCGGCAGGCTGGGCCTCGGCTGCCAGCTGGCCCCAGACCGGGGTGGGCAGCTTCACAAGGGTTTGGATGGTTCTGTAGCCAAAGGCTTTCTGATTACACCCCAAGACCATGCTCTTTTCTCGTCATCCCAGGCCCTCTCCAACCTGTTCTTGCTTACAGGTCAAACTGAGCATCTTCTGTGAACAGGACAGGATCCTCCAGGACTTGGAAGACAAGATACGAGCCCTCAAGGAGAACAAAGTACGTATCAGTTTTGCATAATCTTAGGCTGGGTGGAGTAGGGGGTTGGTCTTTTCTTAGTCACAGACTGGATGGTATCCAGTAATAGGTGTTAGTTTATCCAGAATAATGTCTTTGGGTTTAAAGGGTATTTTGGGGGTGGGAAGGTTCTTTCTGAACCTGGAGGAAAATAGGGAGACCTTGGCCTTGTACCACTGCCCTCTCTCTCCCTCCCCCTTAATTCTGCTCTGGCCCACCTGTCCCCTGAGGCCTGGTGAGGTGAGCTTGCAAGAGGAGGGCTCCGCTGGATCTGGGCTATGTAGGAAGCAAGTCTGGATGGGAGGGCAGGAATGGGCCAGGGCAGAGTTGGGGGCACCAAATTTGGTCTCTTAGTGTGAATTATTTTTCTTATTGCATTTTAACAAGGTGTTATATTTGTGATGTTGAAGGTTTATAACATGCCCTTTGTCCTAAGAGCTTAAAGACTTTTCCATTGATTCTGATTTATTTTCATCATTTATCCCGTAAGGAGTTGATAGCCTTGTGCCCATTTTGTAGATAAGGAAACCGAGGCACGGAGCTGTTAGGTGATTTGTCCCTGGCCACCCAATGGGCAGAATCAGGGCTGGACTCAGAGACCCTGACTCTCAGGCCCCAGCTGGACACTGGCCCTTCAGTCTCGGTTAGATCCGACAGCTTTGGTTAGTCCCTGGCATAGTATATATAGGAGGCCTCCAGGTACTGTCTCTTATCCTCTTGCTCTTTGACCCTTGCCCCATGTAGGACCAGCTAGAGTCCGTGCTGGAGGTGCTGCACAGACAGATGGCCCAGTACCGAGACCAGCCCCAGCACCTGGAGAAGATTGCCTACCAGCAGAGGTTGCTGCAGGAGGACCTTGTCCACATCCGGGCGGAGCTCTCCAGAGAGTCCACTGTGCGTAGAGGCTGTGGAGGCAGCAGACACTTTCCCCACAGGATGGGCTGGGCAGGGGGTTGCTTTGCTCATCTCACCAGCTATCGTTGACTTGGTGGCCAGGGGCAAGAGTCCTGGGGTAGCAGGCAGCCTCCTGGCAGTAGCTTACCTTGTGTAGGGCTTGACATGTCCAGGGGTGCCTTAGGGTCCTTTCCATCAGTGACTCCTGGATGGCTGTAGTGACACCCAAGGGACCAGATTTCTCAGAGCAGCCCATAAGGCTATTCCCTGACCTGCGTGCAGTTAATTTTAAGATGTCAGAACTTCCACTTTACTTGTTCATCTGATATGGTGCAGGCCCTTTCTGCCAGGGCTGGGAGCCAAAGGTGGGAGAAGGGACAGCGCAGATGGCCAGGGTCAGGGCATGAATGAGAAGACAGCCCATGTCTCTCCCCAGGCCTGCCCAGGACCTGCAGGGCTCCCCTGCCCTCTTGCCCTGGCTGGGTCAGCGGTGGTCAGGAGCACAGGTGCTCACGGGCTCCTGGGGGCAAGGATGCTAAGACTCAGAGTGTTTCCTTGGCCGACAGGAGATGGAAAATGCCTGGAACGAGTACCTGAAGCTGGAGAGCGACGTGGAGCAGCTGAAGCAGACCCTGCAGGAGCAGCACAGACGGGCCTTCTTCTTCCAGGTGGTTCAAGGGCCCTTTGTCCTCCCTGGGCTCTGACTCCTGTGCGCCCCACTGGGCCTTCTCTCCTCCCGGCACTCAGCCTGCTCACCGCCCCATCTCTTCCTCGGGCTCCCTTCCCCCACCAGCCTGTGTTGCACAGCCCCCCCCCTCCCCCGTGCCCCTCTGGGGTGTTTTGTAAGGGTTTTACATGTGGGAAAACAACCCGGGAAGACACAAATGCCAACCTTGAGACCCTTACGGAGACTTGAGAGTGATCAGTGTTTCTTGGTTTTTGGCCCATCTTGGGCTCCTAGAAGCCCCACCTCCTTCCTTCCTTCCTCTGATTCCTGAAGATAGATGCTATCAAGCCTTCCCCTGAGGAGGCAGTGTGAATCCAGGAGGTGCCTCTGGTCTCCAGGCAGACATTAGCATTTCTGGAAGCCGGGCAAGGAGATACCCATCGCTGTGCTCCACTCAGGAAAGGCAGCTCAGAGCCCTGCTTCCTCTGTCCTTAAAAACCGGGCCACCCCGTTGACAGCTGCCTCTGTCCCCAGAGGTGAGGGAAGAGAGGCCCTGTGGTTTTTCTTCCTCCTGGATGGGTCCTCCAGATGCCCCGTGTTCCCTCCCTGTGGTGCCCAACCAGGCTACAGCCCCACCCTCAACATGTTAAAAATGGAAAAGAACCTGCTTGCAAACCCAGCTTCAGATTTCTGGGCCCTGACATGAATTCCACTTATTTGAATTCAGGGAGTATTAATCAAGGCTGCTTGTGTTGAGGCACCTGCTAGGCCCGTTTGGGAGCGTGGCTTGCTAATTGATGAACTGGTTCTAGCCACGGCTCCTCACTCAGGTGATTGAATGAATATGTTGACTCTCCTCATGTCAGCCTCACCCCCAAAAGAGATGGAAATTCAGAATGGGGAGGCTTTTCCCAGGCCCTGCTCTCCCCCTACTCACCCTTCGGAGGTGGGTCCAGGGCCACGTGGAGACTTGCCTGTGGCTCAGGGCTGGTCTGCTTGGCTTCCCGGCACCTGCCTAGCTCCTGCTGCTGCTGTTTTTCCTATGATTTCCCTTCATCCGAGCTGACTAACAATTTCCTCTCTGTTTTCCATCCCTAGCACTTAGCATAATGGCTTGAAAATACTAGGCGAATATCAGTTAAGTCTTTCAATCGATTATTTCTAATGACTAGTTTCTTAAACTGTCCTGTCCCGTTATACCGATCTTCTTGGACTTCCATGAGCCAGATTAATTTTAGCAGTAATTTTGTTTTTACCTTTTTATTCCTTATGTTTCTATGATTATTCAAATCACATGTGAATACATCTCTCTGAAAAGACAAAACAGTGGGAAGCAAAACCAAAACATAAACTTACGCTTCTCTTCCCCCCTTCCCCTGTCTGCCCCAGACCACCTTCCTGTGTGACGAGGGCCACCCGTTTGCAGGGTTGCCTTCCTGACCGTTGTCTTTGCATTTCCAAACATGTGCACGTACCTAGAATTATATAGTCTATTTGGGGGTGGAGTTAAGTTCATTTCAAGAGGAATCATTCTTACACCTTGTTCAGTGACTCACTTTTTTGTCATAACCTTATGTTGTGGAAATCTTTCTAGGAAAGACACCCCAAGTTTGTGCTGACCAATACAGTAGCTATTTACATTTAAACATAAATTAATTAAAATGAACTAACATTAAAAATATATTCCTCGCCCTGGCTGGTTTGGCTCAGCAGTTGGAGTGTCGGCCTGTGGTCCAGAGAGACCTGGTTTCGGTTCCCACTCAGGGCATGTACCTCGGTTGCAGTTTGTCCCTGGCTCTGGTTGGGTTGTGTGGGTGGCAACCACTCGATGTGTCCCTTTCACGTTGATGTTTCTCTCTCTCTCCCCCCTCCCACTCTATCTGAACAAAAAATGGAAAAATTTTTGGTGTGCCACAGAATTTTAGTAATCAGTTTATGTGTGCCATGAGATTAAAAAAAAGGTTGAAAAATCTGTGATCTAAGTGAATTAGTTCTTAACCACTGCATAGAATTTTGTAGTCTGGACAGTCCATACTTCATGTAGCCATTCCTCTTCTGATAGACAGTATTTGCAGTGTTTTGCTTTTATAAAAGATGCCACAATGAACATCTCTGTAACTGCCCTTTCAAGCTCATTTATGAGCACTTATCTCAGGCCCCCAGGAGTAGACCCGATGGGTTGAAATGAGTGACATCGTCAGTGTGGATGGCTACTGCCAGATCACTCTCTAAAAGGCTGCAGTCTCGCCCTCCCACCCACAGTGAATGAGAGGACTGAACCTGTCTACCCACATCCTCGCCAGCACTTGATGTTATCAGTCTCTTTAGTTTGTGCCAGTTTACCTGCTGAAAAAGGACATCTTGTTTTAATTTGCATTTAGTTACTTACTAGTGGGTTAAACATCTTTTTATGTGATTATTGGCCATTTGCATTTCTCAACCACCTCATTTTGTGGTGGTTTAGCAAATAGAACCAGCCCCCCCCCACCGCCCCCCCCCCCCCCCCCCCCCCCCCACCACAGAACAAATGGGTACTATGTTCAGGTCTTAAAACATGGGCTAGTTTTTTTTTTTTTTTTTTTTTTTTTTTTTTTTTTTTTTTTTATCCTCACCCGAGGATATTTTTCCATTTTTTTGTACAGATAGAGTGGGAGGGAGAGAGAGGAACAGAGAGAGAGAGAGAGAGAGAAACATCGACGTGAAGGGACACATCGAGTGGCTGCCACCCGCACGACCAACCAGGGCCGGGGACAAACTGCAACCGAAGTACGTGCCCTTAGCGGGAACCGAACCCGGGTCTCTCCAGACTGCAGGCCGACGCTCTAACCGCTGAGCCAAACTGGCCAGGGCAAAACATGGGCTAGTTTGAAGGCCGGCCCCCTGTTGGGTTTGCACCTAGCTTGGCATTGCTCGTGCTTTCCCTGAATGCCACACAGACCCCCGGGAAGCTCACAAAGCCCTTCCTTGAGCAGGCTCTGTGCTAACTCCTTTGGTGTAATTCTAGGCCAGGCAAGCTGTCAGAGACCTGAATAAATCATGAGCACTGGAGATATGCTTGCAGCCCCATACACACAGTCTCAGTCGTAGGGCCTGGAAACTCGCCTCCCTGCAGCCAGGTTTGGCTGTGAGAAAATTCATAGCCTTGTCATTAAAGACAAGTGGCTTTATTTATAAAGACTGTCATGGCCACCTGGGTGGGGAAGCCAGATAGAAGAACATCTGGGTAAGCGTGTGAGAGGCATTGATAGGTGAGGCGACCTGTAGGTGTCTTTACTTTGGGACAGTGAGTTCAAGCCTTTGCTGAATGTAGTACCCAGGAGCCTTCCTGCCCAGCCTGGTGTGAGGATATAGGAATGAAACCCCACTGCCTTGCTCCTCAAAAGCTTCCTTCAGCTTGTCATTAAGTTCTGAAATTCCATCGCCCTTGGAGAAAGATAGAGGCTCTCTGGCCTTCTCTCCTCCTCGCTCTTCTCTTACACATGGGGGTGACAGAAAGAGTGGGGCAGGGCTGTGAGCTGGCAGGTGGAAGTGTGCCAGGGAGGCTGCCAGAGGAGGAGGGGAGAGTTGACTTGAGCCCCATGTTCCTCCATCCCCTGCTCCCGGCACTCTGCTGGGGGACCTCAGCTCTAGTGATCCTGTTAGCTTGGACACACACTCTGGGCTCAAAGACATGACTGTTCTAGGACACTTGTCCTCTAGGGAGGAGCGGACATCAGGTTCTTTATTTGCTGGTCAGCCCTGAGGATGTGTGTGGGTGCTTAGGGCAGGGGGAGCATGAGCGTCTGAGCCCCATTGGGAAGGAGCCTAGAACACTTGTTGTCATGGTGGTTGGACAGTGTTTGATCAGGGACTTTTCAGTGACTAGTCCTGTGTTCGTTCAACATACATGCACTAAGAATCTGCTGAGAACCTGCCGCTGGGGATGTGTCAGAGCGCGCAGAGTCAAGTTGTAGAATCAGGTCCGTAAGCGTCATACAAGCGAGAGCTCTTCTGATGAACTGAGGGTGGCCGGGTGCCTCGAGAGGATGTGAAACCCTCTGTCCTCCCCGTGATAACTTAAAAACTGAAAGAAGACTCTAGTCGATGTTTAACAACTGTCTTAAAAGATGCCCGCAGTTCCTTAATCACGACAGACCCCACTCACTTCTTTCTAGGGCCCCTTCCCAGCCGGTTTCAGTTGTAACTTGTCAAGTGTGTGTATATAGTCCTGTAGCCGGGCTCTTTCCCCATTACTTTTTTTAAAATTTATTTTTAATAAATTAATTTTTTTTCTTTATTAATTTAGAGAGAGAGAGGAAGGGAGAGGGAGATAGAAACATCGATGAGAGAGAACATCAATTGGCCGCCTCCTGCATGTCCCCCACTGGGGATCGGGCCCACAACTTGGGCATGTGTCTTGACCGGGAATCGAACCGGTGACCTCTTGGAGCATGGGTGGATGCTCAACCACTGAGCCACACTGGCCGGGCCCATTACTTTTTTTAAATAACAGCATTATTATAGAATTCCTTTTTAAAGTATACAATTCAGTGCTTTTTAGAATAGTCAGAGTTGTGCAACCATCCCCACAATCAATTTTATAGCATTTGCATCATCCCCCAGAAGAAATCTGTACTATTAACAGTCACTGCCATCCCACCCTCAGCTGGCCACGCCTGCTCGAGCCAAGTACTAATCTACTTTCTGTCTTCATGGATTTACCGTTCTGGACATTTTATAGAAGTGGAATCATACAATACGAGGCCTTTTGTGTCTGGCTGCTTTCACTGGGCATGATGTTTTCCAGGTTCATCATGTAGTAGCAGGTATCAGCACTCTATTCCTTTTTATGGCTGAATGTACTCTGAACTAAACTTCAAATCCCAGGATTAGCTGTCTTTTAGCGGGAACCGAACCCGGGTCTCTCCGGACCGAAGGCGGACACTCTAACCGCTGAGCCAAACCCGCCAGGGATTAGCTGTCTTTTAAAAGATGCTCTTTATATTCTAGGGAAGGCATAAATAAGCTCTAGTCCTTGCCTTCTCTTCCCTCATGCAGTGGTTGCCTAAGATGGTCTGTGTTTTGAAATTGTGGTAAAATATACCTAACGTGAAGTTTACCACCTTAGCCATGTTCGAGCTCACGGTTTGGTAGTGTTACTTGTATTCACATTGTTGTGCACCCATCTCCACAGTTGTTTTTGTCCTGCACAGCTGGAATTCTGTACCCATGAAAAAGCAATCCTCACCCTGGCCGGTTTGGCTCAGCGGTTAGAGCGTCGGCCTGCGGTCCAGAGGGACCGGGTTTGGTTCCCACTAAGGGCATGTACCTCAGCTGCAGTTTGTCCCTGAGCCCTGGTTGGGTCGTGCGGGAGGTAGCCACTCGATGTGTCCCTTTCACGTCATTTTCTCTCTCCCTCTCTCCCTCTCACTCTCTCACTCTCTCTGAACAAAAAATGGAAAAATGTCCTCGGGTGAGGATTAAAAAAAAATAGAAAAAGCAATCTCTGTTCCCCACCCCACCCACCCGGCAGCTGGCAGCCACCTCTGTCTCCTTGGAACCTGCCCTGGATGCCTCGGATAAGTGGAACCGTGCAGGACTTAAGGCAGCCTGTTCTTAGATGCGGTGGAGCTAGGCAGGGCGGACTGGCGAGAGCTCCCCTGAAATGGCTCTCCCAGCCTGGGCACCCACCATCCAGGTCTGCGCTCCCCGAGAAGCCGTGAAGTGTGCGTGGCTCTAGCCCTGGGGGGTTTCCCAAGGAAATGCTGCCTTCCCAGGGTGAGGGTCCCTGTGTGAAATGACAGCACCAATCCTAAGACAAAAATTCTTGCAAGGAGCTAAGAGGGACACGAACCACCCCTTGTCTCCCGCAGGAGAAATCCCAGATACAGAAGGATCTCTGGAGGATCGAAGATGTCATTGCAGGCCTGAGCGCGAATAAAGAGAACTTCAGGATCCTGGTGGAATCGGTCAAAAATCCGGGTGAGTGGGCCGTCGCCCTGGAGGCCAGCACCCAGGGGGTGGGACGGCCTCCGGAGGTCGGGTCCTCGTGGTGGAAGTCACTCCTCCGAGGAAGCGGGTCTGGGTTCCATCCCCTCCTTTGCTTCCCTCTGTGCCCCTTAGAGAGAAAAACGGTGCCTTTGTTTCCTCACCCACCTGTGCCTTCGCTCTCAACCTCTGAGAGCAAGCCGCCCCCGCAGCCCAGCCCTCCCACCAGCCCTGTGCGGACCCCCCTGGAGGTTCGCCTCTTCCCTCAGCTGCAAACCTACCTGCCCTACCGATCTCACCCGCCCCAGCTGAGGAAGGTGACGTCTCCTCTTCAGTCACCCACCAAGACGAAGCCCAAAGTTGTAAGTATGATGACCAGGAGCTGAGTGCTGTCTTCCTCTCTGGCAGATGACTGCCCTTCTGTGTCCTCAGGTCAGCTTCTCTCAGGAGAGAAGTTTTTAGGGAAACATGGGGAGATAGAACCAACCAGAGTCCTGAGCCATGAGAAGTTAAGGATTAGAGGGGCCCTGCCTTTGGACCTCAGACTCCCAGAATTCAAAGGGCCCTTCAAGAGACTCTAGCCCAAGCCTCCCATTTTGCAGTTGGGAAAACTGATGCCCAGCAAGAGAAAGTGACTGTGATGAGTAGGTGGAATTTGTGGCCTGCACCGTGCAGAGAGGTGTGTGGCTGCCCCTTGCAAACCTGCAGTTACACACGCCTGTGAACTGTGAGCTCATCTCAACAGAAGGACATCCTTGTCTTCACCTACAGCTGAGCACTCTGCTGGGTTGTAGGATATTGATCTTCAAAATAACCTCATGCAGGAAAGTCAGTATCCCCATCCCAGAGACAGGAGAACTGAGGACCGAAGGTGTTAAAATTTGCTTCAGATCTCCATGTTAGATTCAGTCCACATCTCCTGACCGTGCTCTGTGCCTCTGCCATCTTATTGGACATTCATCCCAGGTCCTCAGGTCAGGTTTGTGGCCATGGTGATCGCCTGGGCCAGTACTTTGGCTTGCCTGGCATAGAGAGGGGCCAAGCCCAGGCAGAGTCTGGGACAACAGGAGACTTGAAGGAAACAAGGTGTGGTCAGGTACTGTGATAGCTCACACAGGGCCAGGCCAGCTTTGGGTGGAGAACATGAGGGGTCTGGTCCAGGTGACTGGAGAGCCATGGCAAAGGGGACCTTGGAAGGGAGGCCTCTAGGATTCTGGTTGGAGGAGCTTTGCCTGGGCATCATGTGTGCCCAGGACCTCTGAAGAGGTCAGTGCACTGCAGTGGCTCAAACCAGTTCCCATAACCGTCCTCACCTTTTACCTGCTACCGGCCAGGGCCCAGGGCCCCGGGACATTGTGAATTTCTTCATCTTGAGATCTCCTTCCCAATCCCAGATCTAAGAGGCATGGTGCACCCTTGACTGAAATTGAACCCGCGAGTCTTTGGTCCGAGGGCCGACGCTCAAACCGCTGAGCCAAACTGGCCAGGGTTTATTCATTTTTATGTGCCTTAGTTTCTTGAATTTAAAGTCACTTACTTTTTTATTAGATAATACTCTCAAAGGGTACAAAATCAAAAGACATGAAATAGATATATATATAATAAAATGTCTCCCACCCTTTGTCTCCAGAAATTCTATTGCCTTCAATTTAGGGCAATGGATGTTTTGTGTTTATCTTTCCGGGGAGCTTTGCAGAACTTGGTGATTCTGAGATCATGTCAGGGTCAGAAACCTGATGCTCAGAGACGGGATGACCGTCACACACTGGTGAAATGAGTTATAAAAGAAGAATGCGGACAAACCTTCGCAAGGCTAGCTTGCCGTGCCCTTCCCCAGGCCCTGCAAAATTCTGAGAAAAAAAGCAGAATTAGACTAAGAAAGGGGGGGTTTAGGAGGCAGGAGCCTCAATGGTCACTTGTCCCAGGAGTCGATGTCCACGGCAGTTGGGAGCCAGGCTGTTGATCTGTAGCGAAGCCACAGCCCTCAGAGTGTCATGGCCCAGGCGGTGTGAGGGGAGGGGAGTTGGAGGAAAACAGTGACATTCATCATCCTCAGGGAGTGGGCTGTGGGGCAGGCAGTCAGTCACCCATCCTGACCGCCTGCTCAGTCCCCAGGTTGGGAAGGAGGAAATGTTTTGTAACGGTCACACTACTGATAGGGCGGGAGGAAGACTGTCCCTGCTCAGCTCTCCAGACGGCTGAGAGTCTGAGGCTGCAGGGCCGGTGTCGGCTGCCTGAGCACAGCAGAGCGGGGCAGAGACGTGGGGTGGCGCTGCCACAGACTTCGGGGCCAGCCTGCTCCCCCTCTGGGGCATTCGGAGAAGGTGGAGTAAGAACATGGATCCAGGTGACCAGAGCTCTGGATTTGGGGACACAGCGAAGGCAACACTTTGAAAAAAGGAAAATGGGTGAATCGCAGGGAAGAATGGATTTGGAGCCGAGGGGACGCCTTCCTCACAGCTCAACCAGGGAAAATGTTGGCACCTGTGGGCCGCAGTGGTTGTGCTCTGCAGGCCCGAGGTGGACGTCCGGCCCTTTGGGCCACCACAGTGGTGGGGCTGCGCGACCTGCTCCCCCCAGCTCCCTCTCACTGGGTACCCGCTCTGCTCCTTTTTCTGAGCAGGAAGAGGAGGCACCTCCCAGGCCCCCGCTCCCTGAGCTTTACAGCCCGGAGGACCCGCCCCCCGCCGTGCCGCCTCTGCCCAGGGAGGCCACCGTCATCCGGCACACCTCAGTGAGGGGCCTCAAGCGGCAGTCGGACGAGAGGAAGCGAGACCGGGAGCAGGGACAGTGTGTGAACGGGGACTCGAGGGTGAGCAGGACCCCGGGGACACCTGCAGTGGAGGGAAGTGGCGTGACACTGGGCAGGTATGACAGCCTCCTGCTCTGCCCGCAGGCGGAGCTCCGGTCCTACGTCAGTGAGCCTGAGCTGACGACTTTCAGTGGGGACACGGCCCAGCCTTCCCTGGGACTCCTGGGCCCCGAGACCAGGTACCAGACGCTGCCCAGCAGAGGTAAGGCACGCTGTCCTCAAAGGCCTCTGGGAAGCCCCAGCACTGCCAGTCACTGCTCCCCACTCTCCCACGGTACCTCGCACCCTCGTGCCTGCAGCTTCAGGCTCTGGGCTTCAGGGAGGCCGGTCCTTCCTTCCTCTGGCCCATACCCTGATTCTCTTTCTTTTCGTTACATCTGTTCCTGGAAATGGTGACAATAGCAGTTACTATAAAGGTTGGCACTGTATTGTGTTAAGCACTTTATAATCACTTAGCTAATATTCATAGTCTATGAGGGAAGTGCTATTATTGTCTTTGTTTTAGATATAAGAAAACCAAGGCTCAGAGAAAGTAAGCACCTTGCCGATTAGTAACCAGTGACAGAGCCAGAAGCCAGTCCTGGTGGTCTGGCTATAGCCGCTGCCCCTGCAGGTGGGGTGCTGGGGACGGCATCAGCTTGGCCATCTCGTGCCTTCCGAGGATGATTTCCTCTGTGTCACTCAGGCTCACTGAATCCTTTCTTTAAACACACTTCAATTGGGCCTTCTTCTCGCTGTCCTTCCTTCTCCCTTCAAGGTGGGGATGGGGACAGACTTAGGCCCTCAGGCTTACCCGTACCCCATTTTTCCCATAGCCAGACCCTCTTCCTCAGAAATCTCCAAAAAGGGAGGCCTCCAGAACCCCGGAGCAGGTGGACCAGGCTCCCTCACGTGTTCCACCTGTCTGCTTCCGGAGGTGGACGGTCAAGCGCTTTCGCCCATTTGGCCAGGTGGACACACACACAGCCATGGTTCCCGCACGTGTAGGGCTGTGTGACCCCCAGCTCACCACGCTGTCTAGGCTTACTTTGGCCACGGCAACCCTTGACACTGGGCCCGGAGGCCCTGTCCCCTTCATTCATTACGGCTTGGAGGTGTTTATCAAGGGCAGTACTGGTGACATTGTGGGCAGGACGTTTCTTTGTTGCTTGGGATTCTCTTTGCCATGAGCTGTTTGCTAGTGGTCCCCCCAGTTAGCGGGATGCTCGTTTCCAGATGTCAAGGACCACCTCTGGTAAGAATTGCTGCTGGTGGAGAAGGCACAGGCCGTGGCCCCAGCCTCCAGGCTGAGATGGTTCCAGAGCCACAGGACCCACATGTGCGAAGCACACGGTCAGCGGTGCTCCTGCCGTGTGCCTTGGACACATCTCTCAGCCCTTGGGAGCTTTGGCTCGCCCACCCCTGCAGGGGTTGAGTAATACTTCCTTTGTAGGTCCAGTGGGACAGAAGTCTAGACAACAGTGCTGCCATAGTAACCGCTCAGTAAACGTTCGGTGCCTGCCCCTTTCCCTTCATTCGTTGACTCCTTCAGTCAGTCAACCAAGCATAGTTGAGTTTGCAGTCTAGTTAGGTGTGTTGCCACGGTGGTCAGTGTCAGTGGAGATACTGGAGGATATCGGGGTAACTGATTCTGCCTGGGGCATTTCAGGAGCCTCCACACAGGCGGGGTATCCACACTGGGCCGCGCAGGGGCCCCGAGAGTTCATCAGAAGGAAGGGATGCAGGGCATTCCTGCTCCTCCAACCTGTACATCTGCCAAGCAGCCCCGTCCTCTGCGTGTGAGGGGAGACTAGTCCACAGATCTGTATGGACACTGTCCCCCATTGTGGGCAGAGGGCACCCCTGGACTGGCCACTCGTCCTGTACCTGGAGCCTTGCTCTTCAGGCCCTGTTGGCTGAGCCCTTGTGGTGCCTGACAGCAGGGGCAGGGAGGGAGGGAGCAGGGAGGGGCTGGTGGCCTGTGCACCCCACCACAAGTACTCACCTTGTCTTTCCTCACGAAGGGCTCTCAGGGTCCACGTCACGGCTCCAGCAGTCGTCCACCATCGCTCCCTACGTCACCCTCCGGCGGGGTCTGGATGCCGACAGCAGCAAGATGACTTTCCCTGTGAGTGGCCTTGAGCAGTTTCCGAGGAGCTCGCTGCTCCCTCTCGCACAGAGGGAAGGGCTCCAAGGTGGATGGTGACTGGCAGTCCTGTGAGCCCTGGGGACGGTCTCTGAGGCGATCTCAGCCCCTCCTGAGCTCAGGGTCCTTGTCACCACGCGCTCAGTGATACCTTTCCCCCCTGCCCACCCAGAGGGGCATCACCATTTCCATTTCCTGAGGACCCCACCTTTCTCCCCAGCCTGTGAGGCTCGAAGGAGGGAGCCCAGGAAGTCTGCGCCCTGAGTTCCGAGCCCACCGTGTGCTGCTTGTAGACCTGACCGCAAAGGCCTGGGCCTCAGTGTCTGCATCTACAGAATGGGGTGCTGCCAGGGAGCCCATGAAGGCCAGGGCATCATGTCCGAGGATGCCTAGCGGAAGTGGTTCTCGGTGGCCGAGCCCAACCAGACAGTGTGTTTGTGTGAGAGACAGACAGACCAAGAAGGGAATGAAGCCAGCGGCGCGGCTGCCCTCTGCCCCAGCCCAGCTGCTCTGTCTCTCGCCCTCTCCCTCCTCAGAGACCCAAGAGTGCCTTGGAGCGCCTGTACTCAGGGGACCACCAGCGGGGCAAGATGAGCGCAGAGGAGCAGCTGGAGCGCATGAAGCGGCACCAGAAGGCCCTGGTCCGAGAGCGCAAGAGGACGCTGAGCCAGGGAGAGAGGGCGAGCCTGCCCGCGCCTCACTACCTCAGCCACCCGCACCCCGGAGACCTTGGCTCAGTATGTTAGGAGGGTCCAGGCAGCTGGGGCTGGGACAGGGAGCAGAGCTTCCCCGGGTCCCCTGAACACAAGCGTGTCACACCCCTGAGTGAGTGGGCTGTTGACCCAGGTGGTTCAGAGAACACCTCACGGGGCTGTTTTGCTCACAAGCTGGGACGCATGCGTGACCTGGTCAGAGGGTGATTGGGAAGCAGAGCTGGCCTGAGGATGTCACTGCAGGAGTCAAGGAGCCTGAGGAAACGCCCAGCCAGTCCTCTGAGTTGAGCTTGAAAGAGCCCTTTGTAGGCCTTCAGAGTCTTTCCGCTGAATCGAGGACTTGGGAATATGTACTTGGTTTGAGGATTCCAGGAGTGGAGGAGGAAGAAGGTGATAGGATTTGATGAGGAGGAGCACAAGCCCACCAAACCCCCAAACTTCCGAGCAGATGCCCTGTGGGGCAGCTGAGCACAGGGTCACGCCCCGCAGCTCTGGGCTGTGCTCTCCCTGCTTGTGGTGCCCACCGGCTTCATGGTGCGCCAAGTGAGCCAGGGAACTCTGCTACCCCTGGTGGTGCTTCCCGGCACTGCACCCTGCCCACAGTCGCCTTAGGTCCATTTTGGATACATCCCTTTCGACATAACCCTGTTGTTTAAAACCGAGTGTTTCCCTAGACCTCAAGCCTGACTGTTCTTTCCCTCATTCATTGCACAAGCTCCTTTGCTTTTAGTGTCACCGCTCGTTGCCTCTCTAATCCTGCCTGATTGTATTTACAGAAGCTTCTAATTCTCGTTGAACGTTCTCTAACGGGCCTGTGCTCTTTGTCACCAGGCTTATAATAGCAGCTCTTGTCTCCATAGACTAGCGAGCACTCCCGTGTGTGGCTCACCTTCCTGCTGCCCCCTCCGTGTAGGCCTACTGCTCACAATGCACTCATCCCAAAAGCCGCCCGCGAGACCGAGCCAGCCTGCCGCCTCAGGGCCGTGGTCGCTGGCAGAGGTCTGGGCATTATGAATTTATCACGGTCCGCATCTTGCATCTGGACAGTAGATACAGACTTCAGAGAGTGTACATGTGAATAAATTCTATCAAGTTAAAGTGGTTTGGTTTTAATTCCTTCAGTCCCATTGAACAGTTTCTTATGGAAAACTTTTTGTGTTTTTAGTATTTAATAACTTGAACAGATGGCAAGCTACATTATGTTCTGTGTTCAGAGGGGCCTCTGCAGCTGTTAGCTCAGACACCAAAGGGGTAGGACCCAGGACACTCATATCCTGAAAAGCTGCAAAGCCAGTAACTTTTAAACTTTATAAGCTAATGTTATGTGGGGTAACACTGACCTTTTACAACCTGATGTCTCAAATGTAGAAAGGTTATCTAATAGTCGTAACTTGAATACCTTGTAATTTTTCTCTTAAAAAAGAAAAGACTTGTGTAAGTCTCTGTATCAACGCCAATAAACGTGTTCCTAATGATAATGGATTGGCGTGGTTCTTCCCCAGGATACACCACAGAGCCTAGTGACCTTTTTCTGTTTGTGGAAACAATCAGGCTGGGTTTAAATGAGGCCTTATCTCTCTATCCGGAGCACATTTGAGCGCGTAAGAAAATGTGCTTTTTCTTTGTGAATCATTAAATTGATTTTTCATCCCTGAAATGTCAACTGCCTAATCCTTTCATACTGTGATTGGAAGCCTAAGAGTGATTACATTGGCTTGGAATCAGTATTGAAAGCTTGTGCATGAATGGGTGAAACGTACTGATAATGGCTCTGGATTGGTGGCTTTCGGGGCACTTGAAGGGTCATCAAAGACCAGCTTGACCGCTTGGGGCTCTATGAGGTGGATCGGGTGGGAGGGAAGAGGGGACCTGGGATGGAGAAGCATCTATTAGGCTGCTGCTCAAGAGAAGAGAGGCTTTGAGCCTATTCCCTCCTCAGAACCTCGGCATCACAGGCCTATGAGGAGGCGGGCCACACAGCTGGTTAGGAGGGCTGCCTGGAGTCACACAGCTGTGCATGGATCTAAACATGCCCGGTTAGATTTTCCCTCTGTGAAGAGACACTTGGTGATAGCGCGGAACAGCCCTGAAAACTTTGCATGTGATTTAGCATTTCAGTTTCACATGGTTTTGTGTGTTTTCTAACTTAAAGAAAATTTTTGCCCTAAATAGATGCCGTGATGCACAGCAGTTTATCTGCCTCCCTGGTCCCAAGCTGCTCCTGCGTGGACCTCCCCAGCCACACTGTGGGTGCTGTAGGCCCACCCCTAAATGTGTCCTGTTGGGGGTACCCATTCCAGAAGCGCTTGGCTATTTCACTTGTTTACCAGGGCCTCAAGGGCTTACTTCTTCCCTTATTTCTGAGCAGGGATGTGCGGCTCCTGAACCAGGAAGACTTCCATGACGGGGGGGGGGGGGGGGGGGGGGGGCAGCAGTAGGGGCAAATCCCTTCTCCAGAGTTCTCCCAGGTTGGGGATCCCCTCTCAGACCTCCTGTATCCCTGGGAACATTATGAGTCTGAAGTCATGGGTCTTTGACCTGTACCCTGGGGATGCATGTTTGAGCCTTTGGGGGACCTAGATCAGAAAGAAAGCAGCCTGGAGTCAGGCCATATAAAGGGGCAGAGGCCCCCTTCTCCGTTACTCGGAGGTCAGCATACGCAGGACTTGTTTTAGAGAGAGGAGGTTGAGGTCCATCGTCACACAGCTCTTCCCTAATGGGTCGCAGGCCCATCTTCCAAGGACCCCGGGCCTGCAAGACCATTCGGAAGGGGACTGCGTGGCTCCCTCAGCAGTTAGGAAGTGACTACATTAACCCTCTTGTTCTGTTGCCAGTGGAAGCGTGAGCAGGACTTTGACCTGCAGTTGCTGGACCGCGCTGTGCACGGGGAAAGGAAGGACAAGGAGGAGAATGGCTGGTTGAAAGTACAGGCCATGCCTGTCACTGAGTTGGATCTGGAACCTCAAGACTATGACTTGGACATCAGCAGAGAGGTGAGGGCAGGGTCTTCCTTCGTGCTCCCCCCAGGAGGCGTGGCTTTCAGGCTCCCAGCCTGACCCACCCTCCCAGGGGCACTAGGGGCTGTTGTCCTCAATGGGGATGAGGCTTCGCTTCATGTGGCCCAGGAGACAGGATGGATAGCCCCGTGAGGCAATAAGAGGAGCCCAGTGTTTTGATGCAGGTTTAGATCTCTCTCTCTCTGCAAGTCATTTAACGTCTCTGTGCCTCAGTTTTCTCAACAGTAAAGTGGGTGTGATGAGGATTAACTGACTCCATGTGTTGCCCAGAGGATTAGCAATGATCGGAAGGCCATATGAGCACAGGGCCTGGCACATAGCAGGCATGGGGTGAGGTAGTTATTGTTAGGAAATATTCTTTGAAAACCCAAGGTTGGCCTTGCAGCTGGCCTCTCAGGCTTACTTGGGCGATCAGACGGGGACAATCAGTGGGTTTGAAAAGCACAGGTGAAATTTCCAGCCTGACAGAGGCTAGGAGACCTGCATAGTTCTGGTCTGAATTCTTCTGACGCCCTCTGGTGGCTCAAATGCATCATGACCAGCAGGCCTGGGAAAGCAAGTAACCCCTGGATCTCTACTGATCAGGAATGTCTGTACCCAGGAGAAGAGAAAGGGAATCAGAGGGTGACAGGTGCAGGGTCTTCAAGACATAGGGTGGTCTCCTGTGGCCTCTGCTGTGTCATTTGTAAGCTCTTTAGAGCAGTGTCTAATGGCTGTTTGGTTTATAGTACGTGCTCTATAAATATTTGCTGAATGAAGACTCTGTTGAATGAAACACAGGTGGCCCACAAGTATCCCAAAAAACATTGTGTGAGGACCAGCCAACCCTGAAGTGGCACGAGAGGAAATGCTCTCACCACAGGAAGGGTAGATTTAGTGTGGGAGCAGATTGAAAGCCCTGGGGTCGGCTGAGGCTCCAGGGGTTCATGAGTCCCTGCCTCAGGCCTTTGCCTTTGGTACCTCGGAAACAGCCAAAGGTCTGTGCTTTCTCAGGTCCACAAAAGAAGCTTCTGCACCCTGCCTTGGCCGTGAAGGTAGCTCTGTAGTGTCCTAATTGGCCTGCCAGCCAGGGGAAAAAGTCTTATCGCTAACCTAAATCCCTCTGCTACAATGTAATCTACTTCCTTCCTCTGGATCTGCCCTCGTTGGAAACAACAGAGAAGAGCTTATTTCTGGCCATCTTACACCAGAATGAAAGGGCTGCATGGATTTAAATTCAAGTCCAGATTTGCCCTGGGATTGGATTTAGCTTGTTTTTTTTTTTTAGAAGCTTCAACCAACTCCTTTTTAATTGCTGTTGTAGTTCAGGAGGAAAAAATTCCCTGGGGTGTGCAAAAGTCGCCTTTAGTGGTCTCAGCCCAAGCAAGGTTTTCCAGGCTTAGGCTGCTGCTGGGTTCGTGTGAAAGACTAGTGGGCAGGAGTGGGGGCCTTTTCCTCTAGAAGGAAATAGAGAAGCATGGCTGCCTCCTGTCTAGACCAGAGGAGCTTTTGTAGGGACAGAAAACACTATCGCCACCCAGCCATCCACTCAGCCATCCCTCCATCCACACACCTACTCACCCCCCACCTATCCATCCACCACCCATTCAAGGAGTATTTGCTGAGAGGCCACCAAGTGCCAGGCCCTTGCACAGGCGGGGAGACAGATAACCGGGAGTAGCAGGGTGGGGTCAGGGAAGGCCTCTCGGGGGAGGTCGGAGTGATGACACAGTCAGCGGCACCAAGAGGAGCATCCCAGGCAGCGGGAAGCGCAGGGGCAGAGGCCACAGAGTGGGTCAGTGTGGCTGGAGAAGCTGGCAGGGGTCCGATCACATTGCGGGTGCACTGAGGATGTTCACATCTGTCCTCAGGGCTTCCAGCCCCGTTGTTTGACCCTCCCTCGCCTGTAGGAAGTTGTTGGGTGTAGTGGAAAGAACATGGTTTTTGGAGTCAGACCTGGGTTCCGATTCGGACTCCACAGTGGACTGCCATTGTGATCTTAGCAAGTCAGCCTCTGTGGGCAACGTGTGCTTCCTCGTGATGGGGGACAGGGTATGCGAGCAGATCTCGAACCCAGATATCTGAGCCCCGCCATGGCCTCCTGGCCCTGTCCTCAGTTGTCCACACCAGAGAAGGTCTCCATTCCTGAGCGTTACGTGGAGCTGGATCCGGAAGAGCCGCCCAGCCTGGAGGAGCTGCAGGCCCGGTACCGCAAAGCCGAGAAGATCCGCAACATCCTTACCCGGTCCAGGTCAGCCTCCTGCTGCCCCAGTCCTGATGCCCACTGGGCCCGATCCCATGGTGTCTCAGCTGAATGGGCCCTGGGCTAGGCTGGCACACGTACATCACCAGCAGATCATCGAGGAAACTTGCCTAGGTCCCCTGGGACGTTCAGAAACCTAGAAGGCTTATCCTATGTCCTGTGACCCTGGCAAATGTGGGGAGTGGAGCCCAGCATGGCGGTGAAGACACAGTTGGGGCTCCCAGCATTGGGGCCCATGTTCCTTAGAGCCACAGACCAGTGCCAAGGGCCTTTCCCGCTTTCCCGTCCCTCAGCCTCCGTAAGTGTCATGTTTGAGGGCCTCCTTTTCACAGCTAAGTTAGCCATTCCACATCCGGACTTAACAGGAGCCTGAGCTGGAGCTCTTACCTCGAGTTCTGTGATTCCCTCAAGGAAGAACAAAGCTGTGATTTGGGAGGCATTTGGGGAGAAGCATGCACACCTTTGTCTGGGGAGGAAGTGCACCATTTTATCAGTGCCCCCTAAAAGGACGAGATCCCCCAGGCCAGGAGACCCTCCCTTCCTGCGGGGGATGGCAGGGGTGGCGAGGGCGGCAAGGGCTCACCCCCTGCTTTCTGGCCGTCCTGCAGCATGTGCAACCTGCAGCCGACCTCAGGCCAGGGCCGCAGGAACAGCGTGGCCGACCTGGACTCGCAGCTGCAGGAGCAGGAGCGCATCATCAACATCTCCTACGCCCTGGCCTCCGAGGCCTCCCAGCGCAGCAAGCAGGTGGCAGGTGAGGCCGTGGAAACCGGGTCCTGCTCGCTGCCCCTTGGGGCTCGGGGCCAGCCAGGCCTGTGGGGGAGTCCACAAAAAACCAAGTGTCAGGCATGGTAGTTTGGGGCCAGTGGTGTGTTCTCCTGTCCTGTAAGCACCATAGGGCTTGGAAGAGGTGGGGCAAGCTGGGCGGGGGGGATTGGAGCTCAGGAGTGTCAGAGGAAGGAGGCCCAGGACAGGGGGTTCCTAGCTCGTTCTTAAATATGGGAGAGTTGCTGCTGTTCGGCTTTCCCGGGGATCGTGGGTTAAGAACAGGTTTTTCAGGCCCCTGAGCCAAGGGGCCAAGGCTTACGTTTCTGGCCTCATGAAGAAGGCGGCAGGAAAGCTGTGGGTGCTTAGATTTCTGCTGGGCACCCTGCTGTGGAATCAAAGCCACCATTCACCTTAGAGCTCCCTGTGCCAGAAGGCAGGACTTG